AGCCTCAGAAAATGCAGAACATAATTTATTTAATCTGAATAAAATTGACTATATAGTAAGGTAAAGAAAATACAAAAATTACAATGCATACAATTATGACGACCAATATAAATACATCAACAATCTAGATCTTGGAAATTTGGATTGAGGATCATTGATTTTTTGACATTCGAACTAAAGGTATCCGAAAAGTACTAAAATGTACTAAAGATGGTACAATATGTACTCATGTGTACGAAAAGCGCGATATGGTACTATGTTTGGTACTATTTTTACAAATGGAGCTGGAATCCTGAAATTTGAAATTAACATTAACGCCGGGGTGTAGGATTGGAATGTGCACGTAGTTTTGGAAATTTACTTATGTGTACGAAAAGTTCTGAATCGTACTATAATTGGTGCAATTTGGATTTGGTTGAACCAATACAGCTGGGATGCTGAAATTTGGAGTTATTATCATTGTTGGGGTGTAGGATTGGGGTATGTAGTTAATTTTGAAAATTCGTACTAATGTGTGCTATATGGTACCAATGAACCGATTGAGCAGGAATCCTGAAATTTGGAGTTAGGATCATTGTTGGTGTGCAGGATTGGGATATGTAGAAACTATTGAAAATTCCTACTAATGTGAACAGATAGAGCTGGAATCTGAAAATTTGATGTTAGGATCACTGTTGGTGTGTAGGATTGGGCTTTGTAGAAAGTTTTGGTAATTCGTACTTATGTGTATTAAATTTTGTACAATTTAAATTTTGGGTAAACCAATGCAGCTGGAATCCTGAAATTTAGAGTTAGGATTACTGTTGGGGTATAGGATTGGGATATGTAGATAATTTTGGAAACTTGCACTAATGTGTACCAAATGTGGATTTTGGTGAACCGATAGAGCTGGAGGACTGAAATTTGGAAATAAGGTTACTGTTGGAGTGTAGGATTGGGGTATGGATGCAGTTTTGGAAATGCATACTTACAGGTACTAAGTGAACTGATAGAGCTGGGGTGTTGGATTTGGGTATGTAGGAAGTTTTGGAAATGTCTACTAATTTGTACTAAATGTTACTAAATTTGGCACAATTTGGATTAAAATTGAACCGATAGAGCTGGAATCCTGAAATTGAGTAATAAGGTTTCCATTGGATTGCATGATGTAGGTAGTAATGGAAATTTGTACTTATGTGTTGTAAGTGGTACTAAATGTGATACAAATTGGATTTAGGTGAACCGATAGAATCCTGAAATTGGGATATGTGGGAAGTGTTGGAAATTCGTACTTATGATTGTTAAAGTAGGTAGTTATGGTAATTTATATTAATGATTACTAAATGATACTTAATTTGGGTGAAGCTAAGTTTTTTTTTTCCAAATAACACCAAATTTGGTATAGAGGTAGATTTCTGTTGCAATCAGATTTGGTGTGTAGGGTTGAACATAAGTACTAAATGGTTCTAAAATTTTAATAATGGTCGGTATTGGATTTTAAATACTTCCTACATTCGCTAACGAAGTATGCTAGTATGTGACAAATTATAATCCGCTGAAGCTAATGTTTGGAACTATTCTGTGCGATCATTACTCATTATTGTGTAATGAGCAAAATAGATATTTCGCCGTGTCGTGTTTTTAAGGAAAAAGTCATAAAGTCATAATATTATTGTAATGCAAATGACATTATTTTGTAATGCTTATGGGGGCCTTATAACTGAAAAAGGTAACGCAATTGTGTCACACCTTAGTACGTGCACAAACGTTTTAGTTCAATCGCACTGGACGCTGCTGCCGGCAACGAAGAAAGAAGAAATTTCACGAATTAATGTCATTCGTGTTCACAAATCAATTGGAGTCATGTCATGAATAATCAAGTTAGCCAAAAAGCCATTCTAAAGTGAAATTTTCAAATTATTAGCATTGTTTCTTCAGCGACAAACGAAAGCGAATTATTTATATTTTATGTTATTCAATTTTAATAATTGAAACATCGTTCGTTACCTTCTTGTTATGACCCGTTGTGGCCGTACTTGGCCCATTCTGAAACACATTTGCCATTGCCACAGTTAGTCAAATGAGCTTCTGCTTGGAATTTGTGTCTTTAACTTATAGCGTTTGTGTTCGATGGTTGCAGTGCGAGCCGAAGAGGGTTTCGTCTCCTCGTGCCCTGTGTATTAAACTATTTCCCTAAATTATAGGAATTGACAAAGACAACCATTTCGTTAACATATCGCCTAATAGTTATTTTCCTAATTGTGACGGGTGTCATTAAAAGTTCGTTAGGGCCAAGAGGGTTGTTTATATGCGCAGTAATAACCGATACCAAATTGGGAAGGTGTAATAAATTGACGTCGGTCGTTTAAAACATTACGAAGTCAATTAAGCCTTAGTCATTTCCAGTCGTCGGCGTCTCCTATTACGGAGACAGTGTTCTTTATTGAATACACCTCTGTATGGCTGTGCCTTGTATGATGCATATGGCGTCTTTGTTAAAAACAAATGCGCCCAATACTTCCAGTACTTATTTGTTTGTTTGTGACTGGAAAATGATGTCTAACTAAATGCGGCACGTACTACGGCCTTCTCAATTATATGATCAATTCTACTGAACACTTTAGTTAAGCGGCAGTCAGCATTCGCCATCAAATGACCTGCAACACTGGCAAACTCTTACGTACGCATGTGTAACAACGTACACACATATTATTTATGGTTATAGAAATGTATAAACAGCGAATGTTTACCTATTATTTGCTCATGACCTGTGATACCTCCATAAAACACATTATTTTTTACCTGTGTGTTCAACCCTTTTAAGGGCAAGGATCTTTCATAGAAGCACATTTAGGAGAAGACCATAGTGTTATTTATTAATTTATTCGACCTAAAACAAAGAAGGCAATAATTATTAAAACAATTATTACTAAAACAAACTACTAGATGCAAATAATAGGTACGAACAGGGGCACTGTTAGTGTACTTTCAGGAAAATTAAAGACGTACTAAGAGTTTTGATGGTCTTAGAAGTTTTACTCAGGAGTAGTTGCTGTTAATAGAAACCCCTATTATTAAATTTACCATAACATTTTTTCGCATTTTTTCTAAATGCTACATTTAAATATTTTTCTTCTCCAATCCTTCGTCCTCCATCTTTGAATTCGAGGCATATACTAATATGTGTTTGTAACATACAAAAGAAAAGAAGATAGACCCATAGCTACTTTAGACTCTAAAAATAAACAAACCAAAATATTTTATTTATCACCTAGAAAATTTGACTCTTTTAAACTTTATGTATTTAAAACTTTTCAAAATTGGGCACATATTTGCCCTCATTGGCTAAGGGTATAGCCAAATTCGTGTCAGACAATTTGGAGTCGATTTACAAATTTCCGTCCGTCAGTCTGGCCGAACGCATGTATTAACTGCTCTTCAAAACGTGGTTGATGCAAAATTTAATCTAAATATTATAAATGTCCCAAGAAGCAAAACTTTCAGCGGAGAGTGATATAAGCTAAAGATTGTTGGCAAGAAGAGGCAAATTAAAAATCGTTCATTTGATCTTAAAATTGATCCGAAATTCGGTAAATTGTCGGACGTTTTGACATTTTCTACAGTTCGAAGAAAGAATTTCCCGAATCATAATGTTTTCGAAATAAAGTTGTCATTCATTCAAAGGCGGCATTCCATTACATCGTTGCATCTACTGTCTCCATTGCTGCTGACACTGACAATGTAGGTTTATTACTTTCTTGTACATACATATTTATGTGTGTACTAGTTTCCAGTGAATCACAAGCCGTAATCGTTCCAAGCCGCGCCGGCATGTTTAACAAAGCAAACACTTTGACAAAGAAGCGTGTGGCAATGTTTGTTTACATTTGTGCTTTTGGACTTTTTAGCTGACACCGACTGTCGGACGACCGAATGCCGAACAATGTTCGCCGACAACAGGTTTTCGCCTGCCCACATGGATGCTCTGTCGGTTGCGAGAGGGTCAGACAAAATAGTAACATGCCGAAATCAGAAAACAGTTATCCGTTCATTCATTATTCGCACACAACATACACACACACGTGTTTGCCATACGACAAGTGAACAAGTAATAAGCAATTGGCCCTTACTGGCATCGAAGCTATGTATGACGAAAAAGCAATCACCGCATACAAACGCATGCCCATTGCCCGAAAACTTTAACAAGAGGAAGACGAAGCAATCGACTAACATCGTTGTGTAGTGGCGGCGGCGGTATTCGCTTTAGTACCAATGCCAGGTCTTGCCCAGTCAGTCGCTTATAGACTCTTGATCATACATTACCGTTCGCTTCTTAACTTGGCCCGAAAACCGAATAAGTCGTAAAAAGTTTCTACGGGATGCAAGTCAGTGTTGACGGAGCACGTGCAGGAAACACCGTCCGCTTATAAGGAACTACGATCATTACTAGTTTTGTAGTTGTTGTGAAAAGGTTCAGAAGGTGGAGGCAGTGGCGGTTTATCGTTGCTGATCCTCGTCCTCATCACTGCCGCCAGTGAAGAAGTCGTTGCTAAAAGAACCGGTTAAATGTGTTACATACGATCATTTCTGTATTTGTTGTAGCGATTTTCTCGTTGCTATAATCGTGATTGTTGCCTCAACTCGATGCAATTGTCGAGCCGTGCACGTATTGTTTCATAATCGAATAAAAATCGATGGTCGAATAAAAATTGCCGCAATGCAAACAAACCAAACTGAAATTCGAATGCCATGTTAATTTAGCGACAAAACAAACTAAAGATAGTACACAACAGGGAGGAGATGACCACTAACATAGTACATATGTACAAGCAAACAACGACGACACTACCCTACTTATCATCAATAGCAAAAATCGCACATAAATAAACGACTCGGAAGATAAATAAAAACATCTGGTTCCTTTATTGTGAAAGGTCAAAATAAACCAACGATACCAAAAATTCACCCACGCCATATCTATCAAACCTAACGAATTCTAAGTGAGCGGGGTTGGTAGGAGGATGCTGTTCTTTCGATGGCGACCATCTAAACAAAGCCTTATTACCCTTGTCATTGTCTGCAGCTGTGTTTGGCAGCCACTGGATGCAGTATTTTCTCCACATCGGCAGAATCGTGAGATCATCATAACAGATGCGGTAGGTTTTGAAAATGTCTAAATTATCATCTGCACATTGCCGTTACATGTACGAAGGCATGCATGCAGATTCATTTCCCTAATGCGATCGATTTATATGCAATTCATCAGGCGGAAGCCAATCGTGTAGCCAATATGTGTGTATGTGTGTGCGTGCGCGTTTACGTATGTACCCAAAAGTATTTCAATATGTGTGTATGTGTATTAAAAAACACACACACACAATTTAAGTCAATAATTGTGTAAGCTAATTGCCGCCAATTGTGTTCTTCATTCGATTTATTAATTGACTGTAATTACCGGCTCAGGGCGAATCGAAATAAAATCGAAATCGAAAAAAATATGGAAGGACAATTAGTCGTCTACATCATATTCTTCCTAATGCCCACAACCCAGCTTGAAGCGTGTGTCATTTTGGACAAAATTGTGTTCAACGAAAATATGAAATACAGTGGAATTCCGGTTTGACGATAATGCGATTTAACGATGGAGCAATTCAATTACATTGTGTACCTTATATAACAAAAACGAAAAGGCCTAGTTGTCCATTACACTCTTAGTTCGGCGAAAAACGCAGAGAAACATATAGAATCCGTCACAAACCCAGTTTTTTTGTTGTATTTCGGATTTCTTTCGAACTAATTTTACTTGTCATTCCATTTTTTGAAAAAAGTTTCCAGAAATAACAAGCGTTTACGCTGAGTAATAGAGTGCCCTTTAAAGAAATTATCTTTGGCGCATAAATCTTTGTCTGAATTGAAAATTGTAAAATCAGGATTCGATCTTCCGTTTTATTGCGTCATGACGCCTAACACAAATCTAGGCCAATTCAATGAGATTAATTTATAAAATAGATTTGTTTTGGAACGAAATTTCCCTTGAAGATTCCTGATTGGTTAGAATACTCGACGGACGTCATAGAATCGAATGTCATCCAACTTTCGAAATCGAAATAGTTGTGTGACAGCTTCAAGCAGAAGCTATACGCCAAAGCCTACAACAAGCTACTTCTTACTTTTTAAATTTTGTAAAAACTATTTAGTATTCTTTAAAAAAAAAACCAATAAAATCAAAAATGATATGCACATTTTTATAAAATACTAATAATAATCAATATTTATATATAAATTATAATATTGCTTTGTTCTGCGCTTTGGACATTCGCTATGACTATGAGAGCTGCCAATATATAAATCGTTATATCAAGATTTTTCTGTATAGAGCTTTAAGACACGTGCCCGTATTTAAGTAGCCAAATACGCTTTGTCCGTACGTATGTATGTCTGTCTGTAGTGTGGGCATAAATTCCGGAGTTAATTTTTACAACTGACACACACACCGACCAAGCGTCTAGCAAATGTTTTGGCAGGCGGCTCTCGTTCATATTTCAAGGTGTTTTTGTCGTCTAAATTACGTTTCGTTTGGACTTTGAGGCCATATGCCATATTGCAGTAGAACAGTCGAAGCCATTTAAATGCGACATATCGGATCAAATATTTGCCATGATTTAGCATTCACAGCTATAACGAAATCGAAATCCCTAAAGATGAAATACACAATACCTATATTTATATAATTTGGAAAGGAAATCAAATAGTTTATGTATTTCTGGTCGCACTATCAAAATCACGTTGTCCTGAGCTGACTGTACGTTTCGACACACTTTAGACATTAGGATGGTAAATTACAACCACCTGGTTTGTGTTATTGTTAATAAAATTGCACTGACAAATGTGTGCAACAAAGTGTGCATTGCAAAATGTGTCTATAAACGTCGATCAGTGGTTGGCATTAGTTCGTATGAAGACATACGGGCTTGACCCAAAAGTTCGCCATGAACATCATAACATGGTCTCCGATGTATATTTTGTTGGGACCACTCGGACCATGTCCAATACCTCTTTACCAAACTGGGTCGTACTGAGAAGGCATCCGATTAAGGAGAATAAATTGACTGATCGCTGTGTTGGTATTAGCCGCGATTTACTTTCGCCGTGCATGGATGCATGATTGGATACATATGTATGTACGTACGTATGTTCGCATGTTTATTTTGGCTGCCATTGAAATACAAATTCAATTTTTTGTGCTCAACAAACGTTGCTGGAGTTGTGAATGGACGTGAGTCACGTAAAAATCTCCAGTTGTCGTCAAATATGTCGCGCCGAGAGTATTTCACGGACACTTGTAACATGTACAGTGGCTGTGGCATACCAACACACGATTACTGCTATTTGTACACACCCATACACACAAACACGCTCATATTTTAAAGTGGGTCAAGTTTATTGAATACAAATTCAAATAACAATTCGGTTTACAGGTTAGGCGAATACGTCACGACGGCTTTCCGGTGGAACATCACAAAGTGCAGACAAGGGATGGGTATGTATTAACTATGCATCGTATTCCATTCCTCCAGCGGTTCTCGAATGGAAGGGCCCGCGTTTTAAGACGGCCAGTGGTTTTAATGCTGGCTGGCATATATGCTTCCTCGGATGCCTGGCTTTTGAATGGGCCGGAGAACTCGTTGCCCTATTTGCTTTCAAGGAATGGATTTGATGTGTGGCTCGGCAATAACAGGGGCAATGTTTACTCTCGCCACAACGTCTTCCTAAATGCAAGTGACCCTGCGTTTTGGAAATTTTCGTGGCATGAGATGAGTGTTTACGACATGACTGCCATGGTGGACTTCATTCGTGTGTACACCGGCGAGAAGCAAATGCACTTCGTTGGGATTTCGCAAGGCGGTACGGTTTTCCTAGTCCTGAACTCCATTATGCCACAATACAATGAGGCCTTTAAGACTGCCACACTGCTGGCCCCCGTAGCTTATGTGAGCAATACCAAAGGTGCGTTGGCAAAAGTCTTTGGTCCCCTGCTAGGAACGAGGAATTATGTGTCCAAGGTATTAGAAGGAGTGGAAATGGTGTCCACCAATAAGTATGTGAAGAAGCTTCTGTCAATGGCATGTTTGGAAAATGAACGACCTCTGGTGTGTGTTAGTCGCTTATGGCCAGCAGCAGGCTATGACACAGAACTCTTAAACAAGGTCAGTCGAACTTTAAGTATACGACATGGAACCAAGTCTCATCTATGAAAGTGTAATATCCCTTTTTTATTGATTTCATTTGCAGACACTCCTGCCTGATATAATGGCAAACTTTCCCGTCGGTGGATCCTTCAAACAGATCATGCACTATTTCCAAGGATATATGTCGAAAAAATTTCGGCAGTATGACTATGGGCCCGAGCAGAATTTTCTACGGTACAATCAACTGGAGCCTCCAGATTATTGCGTAGAAAATGTGGCAGTACCCACAACCATTTACTACGCTGAAAACGATTACATAGTTTCCGTAGAAGACATTTGGAGACTAATTCGTCGGCTCAAGTCCATTCAAGCCATCTATAAGCTACCACACAAAAAATGGAATCACTTTGACTTCATTTGTGGCCTGGGGGTGCGCCAAATAATATTTGACAATGTCGTCAATAACCTCCTGTCCTATGAGTACGGTTAGTTCCGCCAAAAGGAATTATATTATTTAGATATTTCAGAGACAGCAACAACCTCGATTATTTTATTTTGTAGTATATATCGATATTTTATGTGATAAATTACAATATGATATAGGTTTATATTTATCTATGTAATAGCTAATTTAAATCTAATGTCCATAAACAATGTTACAAAAATTTCATAATTATATTTATGTGGAAGTCGCGGTATGTATTTACCTTTAAGTACTTAAGCACGTCAATCCTAATCGCGGATCATTTAGAAAATATTACACAACAAGCTTAAAAGTCAAATTTAATCAGTTTTTGTTTTTCGACGTATAACATCATAATCAAAATGTTTATCTTTCTTAGATATTTAATGTGTCATGTTATCGTTTTATAGGCTTTTGCGCAAACAAACAACATCCAGTAAAAATGTGTACAAGGAATTGAGAAACGAAAGCACGACGAAGAATGTCGCGAGTTCATATGGGACTTTTCGGTTTACTCCTTCTAGTACCTCCCCCACAAAGGGTCAACATTTTGAAAACTTTACATCTCATATGAAGCAACCTTTCAAAAGAATTGAATGTCTGATTTGATCCAAACTGTACTACTTTTACGAAACATAAATTAGTCCCAAGGGATTGTATATTTTTTTGTTAGGAAAAATCTTACGGCTACGGCTACTTCAAATGTGAATTTTAAACACTATATCATAAGCGAATTTTGATTCATAATCTTTAAACCGCAATTCGTGCTGGTTTTATATGAAAATTGCAATTGCAGAAAAAATTGTATGCGTACGTCCCTGGAGGCTACACCTAAAGCGGGACCAATATTGATTACATCGTGTTGGAATTGCCGACATTTTTTTTTTTAAATAGATGATTGTCCTCTAAAAAGAGGAAACCGTAACCATTTGAGTATGGCGAATGGCATAATTGAAAATATTGAAATAAATTATAACATTGTAATATTAATTATGGGGTTAACGGGCGCAACAAATGACAAACTTTGCAAGTGTCAATTTATAATTTACCGTCATATTTTATTGAGTTTTCGTTTGGTGTGTGTGTATGTGTGTGTGTGTTTTTTTATACTTTAAAACAGTTTAAGATGGATTTCGAAAATATTATTGGCACGTTTATTAAAATAAACATTAATAACTCAATTGTAACTGCAAAATGGGAACAATAAGTATGGAAATAGTAGTTCTGATGGGAAGAAAATAGATGCACATTAAATAAATAGTTCATAATAGTGTACGAATTGTTCGTAGAAGACAAAATATATAATCGAAATGTAGCTCATCTGGTGGCTCAATATTCTTAACTGACACCAACGCTAGAAATATTGAAAGCGTAATGAGGAAAAGTGATACAAGAACACCAAAATTAGCTGTCAAAGCGATAAATAATCACGTTATAGATGTTGGGCTGTTCGTAGATGATTAATTCGAATTATAACAGTCAAGAAACATAAACCAACCATCGTTAAACGTCCCATCTTCGAAGTTGATTTTAGTTTGAAAGAAATATTACGATGTGCGTATTTTGTATCAAATCGGGCATTCCATACGGCTGTTTTTAGATTAACAAATTCATAAACCGACGAACTTGATTGGCAAAATATATATGGGCAATATTGCCAATTTTTTAACATAGCTGAAGCGGAGGTTCACCCCTTTATAACTCTGGAACTACTCAAGTAAACTGTTCATGATATTGACCTCCAAACTTTATTTTGGTGGAAGCTGTGTCTACTTTAATGTAAAAAAATGTGTAAAAACAGGTTGAGGCGAACCAGTTTTTTTATGTTCTCTATCGATTTGTGACTAAGCCACTCATTGCACGGTCTTCGTGTCAAAAGAAGACTAGAAGCCAACAAAATGGAGACTACGCCCCTTGTGTATCATTTTTCGAAATTTTAACTACATCTACCTTTAAATGATGCTGACATTTTGAAGCTCGATTTTGAGTGTTTTTTTAATTTTACTTCTAGCTTTAATACGCAAACAGGAATTTATGAAAATCGATTATAAGATTATTGTAGTTGCGAATCTGCGTAATTTGATATGTATTTTGTGTATGTAGTATGCACAGCTTCAGAGTAATACTCATCCGAAGGTGCGAATTTTGTGCGATGAAATTTCTAAACTATTTTTCGGGCCAAATTTTTAGATCTGTCAACTGAATGATATTGGCACCCGCGATCAATAAGGTTTTTTACGTTTCGGATGATATAAAATCTTCTTCGTGAAAATCCATCTACTAGAACGGCGGGAACTAACCTTCCAAAAACACGAAATTTGGCAAAAAATATTTTTGAAAATATCGCGGATTTAATTGCGTTTTCTGTGGATCATTTTCGTTTCAATAAATTACCTCATACGGATTTTGATCTTTTTCGAAAAGAGAACTTTAAAAACTTCAGCCGAAAGAGAGATGTACCCAATTTATCTCAAAAATAGATTGTGCTGGCACATCCATGGTTCTTAATGGACCACATTGAAATCGGTATAGATCGACGTATTTTTTTAGGGTGCACACTGAAATCGGATGGGCGTTAATGGCATATGGAGTTTTCGGAAATTATTCGCGTTTTACGATTTTTTGGGTACTTCAATGTAACGTGCGGCACATCTTAGCCGTCAAATGAAATTTCGCAAAATATATATGGATTGCAAGATAAACTTCAGTTCTTCCTGGAAACCGCATGCGCACCAAATGGTTTTGAGAATTACGCGATTAACACGCAATTTAAAATGTATATTTCATAATACACACTTAACTGAACCACATGATGGGGCAAACAATATTTCGTAGGAAAATACATGTAAATTTTCTCGGATAATTAAACCCTGTTAATTGATTTTACCGCTTAATTGGTTCAAAATTCATGTCATCAAAAATAAATTTCCTTTTACTTTTCACCGGTTAATTGCATAATAATAATTGACAAATAATCTGTAATTTTTTACATACATATTTGACATAATTTAATTCAAAACATATGTTTATTGCTAAGGAAAAACTGCGAGAAAGCGTAATTTGTATTTGACATTGGATTTTTTTAAATCATTAGTAGTTCCAATTATACGTGATTACTGTAATTGAACAAACTATTCAATTAAGCGGGTTCGGATAATTGGTTCCTCGGTTAATTGAATAAAAATTTGTGCAAATTTTGATGTGCAATTAACCGAAAAATACTGTATTTTTTATTTTAAGATTTATTCCTATTTTTAGAATTCTAAGATTTATCGGAAGGGTCTTGATATAATCCGCACTGCGTATACTTATACACAAAAAGTGATTATTATTATATATGTCAATTTTTGGGCGAAATTCGGGTAAAATAGCAGAATAACCCCAACATTTTTTTCTGAAATTTCTTGTATACAATTAAAAAATAAATATGATGACATTATTTTTTCGAACCAAAAACAAATATTTTTCCTCAATATCTTGTTTTGTTGTCGCTTTGATTTAGAAACCGCCACACGGACTTGTGTGATTTTGATATCATTTGATTCACCATCGTGTTTAGATTATGTAGATATTTTTAAATTAATTTTTAGGTGTGTGTATGTCATTAATATAATGAAAATATTGATGTAATCTGCTATATTTTTTACTTTTCTCATATTTCGCGAATATGTGCAACTTTATCGCGATTATTATAATATATTCATATTCTTATTTTACGGAGGAAGATATATATCAACGTTTTTAGTCAATATAACAAACGGAGCAATTTTAAGATTTTTTTCTTATGCCCAAAATTAAAACCTCGATAACTTTTGCGCGCATCAACCAAAAATTTGATTGCGAACGGTTTCGGAGTCAGAACATTTTTCTCTATATATGTACCAAAAATCATAGATGTTCCACAAAAACAAAAAAAGCTGATTTTTTGAAAATAGAATATTAAAAAATTGGCAATATTGCATATATATATATATATATAAGTATTTAGCTGTGCACCTCATGGTGAAGAGTATACCAAGTCCGGACCTGCAGTACTTTACGACGTTTTTATTCATATATTTTAGAATAAATTGTGATTCCAAAACAATATTTACTCTTTTCGATAATACTACCTGACCGGCAAACGTTATTTTGCCTTATGCAAGATTGTTATTAAGGTCCTCATTTAATTCAGACTCAAGTACATAAAAAATGTTTTAACCCGAAATATTAACTTATAGCAGTATATGTGATATTTAAATTTATCAATTGGTAGAACTCCACACCAAATATGTTTAAGTAGAAGGCCAAGGCCGCGCATACCTTGTTTTAAATGTAAATGTCAGTTTTATATGTTACCTACAAATCCTTACGAAATGTTACCTTCTAATCGGATTTGGGATATCCTCATATTTGAATTGTAATTAGTAGGAATCATTTGAATAAATTGCTGTTGAAAGTTAAATAGGTCCACATTTTTGTGTAGCTCCGTACTGTTACCCACACTTCAAGTTGCCCGCGAAAACATATTTTCCGAAAATATTACACTTTTTACAAATATGAAAATGAAAATGATTAAAAATATGAAAACGATTAGGATAGTGAGTACAAAAATGTCGATCCAACGAGTAGATTATTAAAGGAATAATTATTATAAGCTTATTACCCGCGAACACGGTTCTAGTACACCCTGGATATAACGAACAAATTTTTTTCATACGTCACTTATTTATTTTTAATCAATGTTGAAAAAAGTAAAATTTTGCAGGTTTATTTCTTAAAGGAACTCAAGCTCAACTCAACCTCGTATTCTTCACTTTTTACATAATACTACCTTAAACGTCCTACCTTTTCAATGTGTGAGATTTTACTGCGATTTACACCGCTTTTAAGACACTTTTACGCAATAAATCTTTCAGAATCATAATTTTGTCCATATTTCGTATTTCCTATATTGTATCCAGGTATAATATTACATAAAGGTATATACCCCACATAAAAGTACCGATTAGACATCTGCAAGAATGTACTCGTACAATGAATGCCCATCCACATTCATGGGTGTTAAGTTGTATTCAGAGTACACAACAACATTGAATGAGTGCAAATGAATTCAACCACCGAAGTTGTGTTGTTCTTCGTTGTGCTTTGTCCGATCAAACGATCAAACTCGAAAGCACAACATGCAGTATGATGGATTACAAGAACAAGTTACACAACATCAATGAGTCCAATGAGTGAACATCATGCATTGTATTTTGTATTCTCTGTTTTCATTCAACGACTTAACATTAATGGTGGGCATTCATTTGTACAGGTACATTCATGCAAATGTTTACCTTTTACACTCTTTAAAACTTTATCAGTGAGCAATAGTGAGAAATAATGTATTTTATTTTTTTTCTATTAAATGCAAGTAATTAAAAACTCTAGAAAAATAAGTAAAAGTTGAATGAAATGACGTAAGAAAAAACGTCGGAATCTTCCTTAAGGGATATACAAAAATAGACCTATGCAGAAAATTTTCCCAAATATTGAAAATTAGTGTACAAAGTTATATGAGGAGTACAAATAAATATTTGTGGAAATACATACGCATTTTTTTGGGACTTTAAGACTTTTCATTTGTTTTTCATATTTTCGTCGCCTTAGGTCATTTTCTTACAAATTGTCTCTCATTACATTCTTTAATTCCTGTAATAAATGTGTACTTTTGTTGATTTTTTACATGCTAATGTTATTAAGTAGAGTAGAGATTGTTTATTAAAAAATATGAATACAACCCCCGGGCCGCCCCCCTGCGTTCATCCCTGCCTCATAAATACCTAAAATACCAAACTACAGACAATTCGGCTGAAAATCATGTCCAAAATCCTAAATATGAAATGTTGACTTAAAGCCTTTACATGATGTTAAGTCAGTGACATGTGATAAATTGGACTTAGCGCCTTTACTCATTAATACAAAACAACAATAACAAAAGAGATAAATATATTTATTTAAATATATAGGGGAGAGGGGGGCACCTTTGAACACTTTTTGCTTTCAAGCCTTATAATTTTTTTTATTTTATAATTTTTAGTTTCGTATAAATTTTAACTAATAGGTACATATGTAACCTTTAAAATGAATATACATATGACATACTATAAGCTTGATAAATATATTTTATTACTGCCCCCCCCAGGGGGGGGGGGCAGTTTTGAACACTTTGATATGTATGTATGTATTCATATTCATGTATGTATGTATTCATATTCATATTCATGTATGTATGTATTTTATTCATACATATCAGAAATGCATTCATTCATTAAAAAATGTATAAAAAATTTTCAAAATTTAAAAAAATTAGATCAAAATTTATTAAAACATAAAATGACTGAAAAACAAAAATTAATATGGTGAAAAATACAGTTAATTTCGTAATCTTATTAGTCCATTTGAAATTTTGAGAAATCGAAGCCAAAATTTAAAAACTCCGTTTTTTACTCGAGTTTAATGGGCATGTTCAAAGGTGCCCCACCCATGGCATTTTACGGAAATTTATAATAACTTTTTTTGTAATAAATATATATGAAAGAAATTACATTAGTTATGTTTGAAATGATTGTTGGAATGCAAAAAATTTGTTTGACGAAAGAAAACTATCACAGAATTATTCCTGGGCCCTTACAACCAAATGAATAAAAGTTTACAATGACACTGCGAAAACATGGCCACCCATGTACATTTTGTCGACAACTCAAAAAGATAGCCAAAGTGGTTTACGCAGATAGAGAACAAAATTGCCATATACAAAAATGTAGTTGTGGGTCGGAAAAATTTTAAACCAAGATTTTATGAGCGCTGTTCAAAGGTGCCCCCCTCTCCCCTATATATATATATATATATATATACAGTAAAAACTCGCTAATCCGGATAATTGATTGCAGACCCCAATCCGGATTACCGAGATTTCCGGATTATCGAGTTTTATTAATTGGTTTAAATTTATATTAATTTGGTGATAATTTAATTATTTTTATGCTTTTATTAAAAATGAAAATTATTCATTTCAAAAATAAGAACTTTGAATATAATAGGTACCATTTTAAATTAAATTTGCAACGATTTTTTTATTAAAATAAAAAGTAACGTATTTTTACAATCCGGATTTTTGAGTCAAATAGGTCAATCAATCCGGATTATAGGATACGCAATGGGTTGTGAAATGAAGTCCGTATTACCGAATAATCCGGATTATCGAGGTCCGGATTATCAAGTTTATACTGTATATATATAAAAGCTATATCGAAATCTAAACCGATTTCATCGAAACTTGTCACAAGTTAAGTTGTACTAATTTCAGTATGTTTTATGCATATCGGCCACATTTTGAGATCTTGGTGCATCATTTACTTAAAATCGGACGAACATATATATGGGGGCTATATCTAAATCTGAACCGATTTTCAAGAAACTTAACACACATCATTCTAGACCTAATTCAGTACGCTATGCCAAATTTCGTGCAAATCGAAAGATATATAGGGAAAATTGGCTTTGCATATAAGGGGGCCAATATTGATTACTTCTCGGGAGGATATACTTAAATGTGGACTGAAAAAGGCCATTTTGGATCGTAACGGTTTAGTTTTGTATCTCGACACCCCCCGAAGGTAGTAATATTACAACAGAAGTACATACGGACTAACTAATAATGAGTCTTAACATATTATAGGTTATAAACTTACAATTTGTAGTACTGAATATCCCCCACACTATGGGGTATCCAATTCGAACCCAAATTAAAACGAATTTTTATATGTTTAAAAGTGCGTTTAAAAACATCTATATATTGAAAAAAGAGAAGTAGCGCTATATAGTGGATACATTACTCGATATTCATAAATGTTGCCCTTATTAAGAATATATATACTTTATATGGGCGGAAATTACTGTTTCGATGAGTTACAAACGAAAAAAAAAAACATAACTTACCCTTCATAATTTTGTAGTTTGTATAAAAACCATAGTATTTCTTCATTTAATTCGGGTAATTCGAATACTACTGTATAATTCGACACACTCATTGTGTAAAACATGTTCGTGTACGAACTTGCCGCATTTGTTCAAACTTTGTGTGTTACAACATACATTCATACCGAAGTAAACATACACAATGAATACCAGTTCGTCGAGTCTGAAACGTGGATTGTATGAATCAAACGAATGTACAACAAATTCGAAACTCTCATACCTAAAGCAATTCATGTTTGTTGTACCCTCATTCATTGCACTTCATTTCAAACAAATTTATAGAATAGAAGTCATTACTTTGAGTGAGTGACTCATGGGTGGTGTTTTTGTGCATTCATGCAGATGTCTAGTACCGATTAATCTTTACTTTCATTCCCGTTTTTTTTATTTAAGGAAATTGTCACATATAGTCATACCTTGAATTGTTTCACACAAAATAACTTAATGTGCGTATGTTACCATATAGGTCTCTGTTTTCAGATTTATATATTTTATAGCTTATACGCGGCAACTTTTCCGCCGGAAATATGTCCAAAAAGAACTACGAAGTGATAAAATCATAAAAGTTCGATATAAAATGTGTGGAAATGCATATATACTTCAAAGTATACTTTGCAAAATGTTCACTTCACTTACACACAAGGGAAGAAATTTTGAGGCAAATCGGCCCAGCCGTATCTTCAAAATATGTTTTGAAAGGTTTTCGCACATTTTTCTCAAAATTTGTTTTGTAAAAGCCTTCACACTTTATTTACTGACAACTAAACAAAATTTTGAATGCAGTCGGCCAGCCGTTCTCAATTGCTATAATTTTCTACAATATATATATATATATACATGCTAATCTAAATATATATAGATTTTGCCTTCAAAATAAACAAAACAAATTACATTACCAGATTTCAAAAATCTTTATTCAAATATGGACTTATACATGTTAAGCCAGCGATATTTTTTCTAAAGAGAATGTTTTTTATATAAATTCTCATCAATAAATTTGTGCACCCATGTACTTGGTTCTACCATTTTTGGTCGCGGTCGTCCCACTGTGCGACGTTACTGGTTGCCACCTGTTACCCTCTGATACAATATTCAAATCGGATTTTTTTTTAGATGTATTGGAGATAATTTTGCAGGTGGAGACATCGAAAAAAGTTTATGATCGCTGGTATAATTAGGGCTGTTCCTATTAGCAAGACCAACCTAATCTAAAATATTTTGCATTATTGGTGATAAGATTATTTGCACTTTAATTATTTTAAATTATACTTTATGATGGTCTTTCTTTATCAGCTTCGATCGGACGTGTATACTAAATTTTCGTAAGCATTGCATGCCAGGATAATTGGCATGTTGACGAGCTCCTTGACCCTTATATGCCAGGTAAATTCACCATGAGTAATTGTGTCACCGGGAAAATGGTTCATGATGGGCATCTTAGGCAACTTCGAGGCCAGATACTCGACATCGATTACATCAGCCAATGTATCCGCATCGCTGTAGTAGAAGAAAAGTTCCGCTGTTATTTTGCTGACATCATAGTCCGGAGGTGTATCTTGGCCATATATTTTTCGGTTTTGCGCAGTACCATAATCCAATTGGCAGAAACACCCACTCTCATATTCCTGCATGTAATGTAAGACCTGAGTGGATGAGGCACCGGCTGGATGTGTTTCACTTAGCTGCCCTGATACGGTTTTATTCATGTTACCCGAATCAGTGTCTCCATTAAAAAGATAATATATGTTACTGCACATGAACTCCACGACCGGGTGGTTGGTGCATAATATGTTGTAGAGCTCTTGGAAGAATGTCGACTGCATTACTTCCGTGGTATCCAGTAGCCGCGTAAGAGTGTTCGGGCGACCAATGAAACGCCTGGTATACTTGGCCAACAGAGTTTTCATGTTGCTCATGAATGCCACCGGGGCCAACATATGGGCAGTTTTTATTTTCTCATTGTATTCTGGTCTCTCCGCCATCAGTACAAAGAATACAGTTGTACCTTGGGAGTGGCCTGCATAGTGCACAGCCTTTTCGCCGGTGGTATCTAGAATGTAGTCGATCATTGCTGCTATGTCGAGGACTCCAATTTCATGCCAACTAAATCTCCAGAAATAAGGATGATTTGTTGAGAGACGTGTATTGTTGCGCGAATAGGTATTTCCGCGGGCATTGCCCATCCAAACGTCGTACCCAGCATCGGCCAGAAGGTAGGCCAGCGCATCATTCGGCCCACTAAGAATCCAAGCGTCCGAGCAGGAGGTCAGGCCATGTTGCAACAAAATAGCTGGTCGATATTCGTGTTCGTTTTGAAGTTTGTGCGAATAGGGTATGCGGAACATACCGATTATATAATTGTCCTCCGTCTCGACCATATGAACCTCGGCCGGATAGCCATGCTCTTTTACTCGATCAGCCTAAATAAGGATAATGAATTGACAATGTATTAAGAATACCTATCCCAACTACTCACCGTATTTCGCAGTATTTTCTCCTCTGCATCGCCAATTATCGGATGACCGACTGCAGTTTGAAGTAACAAAACTACGAGCAGTCCGCAATAGAAGTTCATTGTTAGTTAGTCCACGAATATTAAGCGTATGGACGTCTAATGCTGCTGCTATAAATACAATTTGCCTATCAAGTACATAGAATAAATTAGCAATAATTGATAATCCGCTTCTGTGTACATATGAATGCATGTGAGAGTATACTCATACACCTCAAGTAGATAAAACACTTGATCGCCCCCAAGACCTATATTGTTAATATCAGATTGCTTCAAGTAACAATCTATATACTTATAACACAGTGCAACAATTTAAGTTTCATAAAATCATAGGTTCTGTTTTCTAAATGGGGTCTCCATTATATCTGGATATTTTTAAACATAGCTGAAGTCGAGGTTCACCCCCTTAAAAATTCGGCAATTATTAAAGTATATGAAAAAATTGAATAGTTTCGGATTTATTGATCTGTCGTTGCAAACATTTCATGATATTGACTTCCAAAGTTTATTTTCGTGGAAGCTGTGTCTACTTTAATGTAAAACCAATAAGGAAAGTATTAAATTCGGACCTGGGCGACCGTATGATACCCTTCACCCTCTGGACATTTACGACATATGTATCCTGACAGATGTCACATTTATAAAAAAAAACATTGACATGAAATTTAACGATTTTAAATACAGTATAAACTCGATAATCCGGACCTCGCTAATCCGGATTATTCGGTAATCCGGACTGCATTTCACAATTCATTGCGTTCCCTATAATCCGGATTGTTTGCAACTTGATAATCCGGATTGTGTTCAAACATTATATATTTTGGTTTTTTTATTGAAGTCGTAGCAAATGAAACACTTGTTTCAGCATGTGGGAATTATAAAACCGTTTTTCTGCCACCAAACACGACAAGCCTTGTACAACCAATGGATCAAAATCCAATAAGAGTGACAAAAATGTACTATAAAAAGTCACTGTTGTGTGAAATTATAAATGCTGATAACGAAGATTACACGCAATTTTTGAAGAATTTCAATATTAAAATGCGCTGCATTTTGTTAAAAAAACTCTTGGGGGAAAGTGAGTGAGAGGTTACTAAGATCCAGCTGGAAAAATCTGTTCAAGGAAGAATGGGATTCTGAAGATAATTTACCGTTGTCTGTGCTGCAGGAAAGACCTAATTCTGATGAAAATATTGAGGAGACCAATATGACCTTTATATCACAACTAATTCAAAACTCGTTTCAAATAAACATTAACAACGAAGAAGTTGAGGCATGGATTAACGATAATAACTCGACAGTGTTAGATATTCAAATTTCTTTAGAGGATGAAGAGGCTGATTCTTTAATTGAAACTCAACTGGTGAAAGCAAAAGATGCTGTTCAAAGTTAAGAAACGTCAATAAAATGGGCTGAAGAAAATAATGTCGGTATAGAAAAAGCTTTTGTTCTTCATGAATTGCGGGTACAGGCATTAGAAAAATGTTTATCTAATTCGCGGCAAACAACTGTACTTGATTACTATGCCAAAAAAATTAATACCAATTTATGTTAACTTTGAAATATATATTTAATTTGCCTGTACTTATTATAGTTTTGAAATGAAGTTCTTTTTTATTAAAAACCAAAAACTATTTAAAATAACACTAATTTAATACATATTTAAAACATTTGAAAAAAAAACTCGATAATCCGGAAATCTCTGTAATCCGGATTTGGGTCTGCAATCAATTATCCGGATTAACGAGTTTTTACTGTATGTGAATTTTGTCTATATGTAAACCGACTAAGATCTATTGATCTGCAACTTATGCTGTATTTCATTTCATCCGGGCAGATTTAGAGCCGTGTTTGTGCAATGCACTATAGGTAATTTGCTCTGTTTTTGAGGCAAAAATTAATAACAGCTGTATAAAACGATTTTTTGATTCGAACAACGGTTATAAACAATTTCATTAAACACAACAAACGATTAAAAACGATTAGGGTAGTAAGTTAAAAAATTTCGACCCTGCGATTTTTAGAGGAATGAATACTTAGGAATGAATAATTATTACAATGTTGTATGTTTTTGCAGAATGCATTTATAACGATTAATTCAGTACCCAGTTATACTACTTGAAGCTATTAATATGTAAAAGTGAAATAAAAACATGCTTACTACAGGCGAACACGATTATTGTAAACACTGGATATACCGAACAACGTTTTTTTCATATGTAACTTTTTTATTTGTAATCAATGCTGAAAACAGTAAATTTTTGATGATTTATATTCTAAGGGGAACTCAAGACCCTCATTTCGCCTTCTCCACTTTTTAGATTTTTTTCTGATAATATTTCCTTTGTAATCAAAATTCGAGTGTATTCTTTATTTCGCGGAAAAGTTCTATCTTCCTATGACATTTGGAACATCTTGACAAATGCATGCAAAATAACCTAATTTTTTTTTTAAATTTACGTATGTTCGTCCATATTGTTGTTATTGCCATCTTTACTTTCGGGGATGTTGTAAACAACAATATGTTATTTGCTTTTATTTCTTTCGTCAAACCAAATATCGAAAATTTTATTGCTTTTTATTCAGAAGTTCCCTACAAAAAATTGATATTGTTACGTTCTTGGATTTTACTTAATCCCGTGTAGACGTTGTTTTATTTCCCAATACAGTTCGTACTAAATAAAACGCGGGTTCTTTCTGATTACGAATATTACAATGATTTTATTGACACAACTTTACTTTACTTGACGGTTTCAATTCGCGATCTGATTCACCTTCCCTTCCCATTTCCCCTATTTATATGAGTCTTGCCTGTCCCTACAGAAGTTTCTAGACGATCTGGTAACACCTAGATTACGGACAATCTACCAATGCAACAAACACATACAAACTTACACTGAGTGAACAATAACAACAACACATATACTGGCGAGGGAGTAACAAAGAAAGAGGAATTAAGCGATCATCAATGATGACGTTTACCAAGAATTGTACGTCAATAACAAAATAGACAATGAAAGAGGAAATGGAAGGATGTAGAAAAATCTATACAGTAGTTGTTGTGAAGTTATTCGAATAAACTGCGTAGTAGAAATTTACGTTACAATTCAAATTCTTAAATTAATGGAATTCATCTAAATTAACTTAAATCTAAAGTTATATTCGTAACAATGCCCCACGAACAGGCTCGTCCCGAATAGGCACAGTTCCAGTTCCGTAGGGGGCCAGCCGCTCCAAATGTACAACTTTCATCGTCGCATCCAGAGGAGCGACAGTCCCAGGTATTTGCCGCTCGATCGTACCTTGCCTTCATGCGGTTGCTAACCATTTTTATTCGATGGCGAACTGCATCGTGGACTTTACTAAAAGAGTTTTGACTGTCTTCATCTCGGTTCACATCGTCGTTTGGGGTAGCACAGAATATCAAATCGCCAGGTAGCTTTAATTCATTTCCGAACAGAACTTTTGCTGGGGTCCGGGATGTGGAATCATGAATGGCCGATCTATAAGCCAGTAAAAACTTTGGAAAATGCTCATCCCAGTCTCGTTGGCCACTGTCCATCACTTTCCGTAGATGTTCTTCCAGGGTGCGATTGAATCTTTCCACCATGCCATCTGATTGTGGATGTAGGGGCGTCGTTCTGGTTTTGTTGATTCCGTAGGAGTCACACATTTCCTTGAAGATCGCTAATTCAAAATTCCTACCTTGATCGGAATGAACCTCAGATGGAACACCATAGCGACAAATCCAATTTTTGCTGAACACATCCACAATTGTCCTGGCTTCTTGATTTGGGATAGCATAAACCTCTGGTCATTTGCTGAAGTAATCCATGACCACTAAGACATACCGGTTCCCAGAGTCGCTTATTGGGAACGGTCCAGCTCCATCCATTGCGATTCTTTCAAAAGGGGCTCCTGAATTATACTGCTGCATGTAGCCTCGACTCTTCCGTGTTGGACTTTTAGCTCTTATGCACCTTTCACAATTGGCAATCCAGTCGGCAATGGATTTTTGACAGCCGACCCAGTAGAATCTCTGTTTTACCTTTTCAGCGGTTTTTGCTATGCCAAGATGTCCTCCACTTGGCCCATCGTGAAACTCCGACAAGACATCTTTTATTTTGGAGTCTGGGACGACGATCAAGTTCCGGTGAGATTTACCATCCTCACTTTCCCATTTGCGATATAAGCAACCATCTATTATAAGTAGACTGTCCCACTGGGCCCAATAGGATTTTCGGAGGTAATTTCTTTGCGACTAAGTCGCTTGCCCGTTTCTATGGCCGAAATTATTTTGCCCAGAATGGGATCTCTTCGTTGTTCCGTCGATCAATCTTCACCCGACTCAAACTGCAATAGTCGGACATCAACGATATTCTCTTTATTCTCAGCCTTTGAGCAATGCCTGCATTCTACCTTGCATGGCCGACGAGGCAGGGCATCAGCATTACCGTGTTTTCCGCCTTTTCTGTGCTCTATTCTGAAGTCATAACTCTGGAGCCTCTCGATCCAACGGGCTAATTGACCTTCCGGATTCTTAAACTGCAGCAACCATTGGAGAGCAGCGTGGTCGGTCCTCAGCAGGAAATACTGGCCATATAGGTATTTGTGGTAGTGTTTAACGCTCTCAAGGACTTCGGCTTCGGACTCTCAGGCTTCGACAATGTCCGGCTGTAGTACCCGATGACTTTTTCCTGTCCGTCGTTTTCCTGGGAAAGGACGCCACCGATGCCGCACGCACTTGCGTCTGTGTCCAGAGCAAACCTACCGCCAGGTATAGGGTATGCCAAAATGGGGGCTCTGCATACCAGGTCTTTGAGCTTTCTGAATGCCTATTCTTGGTCGTTGCCCCACTGAAACTTCTGGTCTTTTTGCGTCAAGCGGCGATGTTGGCAAAATTTGGGACAAATCGACGGTAG